CATTTATCCAAAACAAACTCCCAGGACTGGCATCACAGCATTTGTGGGTCATTTCCACTCATTTGCAAAAATGTGTTCAAGGGAGTATCACAGTCAAACGTCTGTGTTGACCAAAGGGCTTCCAAGTTGGCCATCATTCACATTTGGGGTTTAAAATAGAAATCGTGGCTATTCAGTTTCTACTTAATAGACTTTTCCCTAAGGGATGCATGAGGCCCACACTTTCCTTGTCCTGCTGTCCTTCTGATTGTACAAGCTCTGGTTCTGACAGTCTCATCTCAGAAGAAATGTGTGTTTCACCTAAACAGACACCTTCGTTAAAACTGTGCCTTCTTGTGTTTCACTGTGCGAGCAGCTGTTAGTACCCCAACACTGGGGTGATACAAAGGCCTAGCTGCCATTTCTGGTTCAAAAAAATCCTGTCTCTCCATCCAGGGACAGTGGCCTCCTTTGCCATCTCCCYAGCCCACTTAGTGGTCCTATAAGAAACAAGCGGTCATCATATCTGGTGATGGGGCACTCTCTGAGACAGCCTGGTGACCAGGGACCACTGCTGAGTCACAAGTAACCCTTTCTCCTTCCTTTAAGGACACCAGATCCCTGGAGCCACCATACTGGCTTCTGACCCYCAATTGCTCTGTCTGGGCAGGAGCTCAGCTGCTGTACTGTGTCTCTACTCATAGAACTTCTGGGACCAGAGAGGCTGGCAGGACTGTCCTCACGGCCTGCAGCCTCTGCTGGCCTGGGTGGGGGATTAACACATGTGGGTCGTATCTTGCAGGCCTGGGTGTGCAGGGGCATGACAGGAGTTGGGACTGCGAGGGGGCAGGAGACACCCTTCAGCCCACATGCTCTCCCACACAGTCTTTGTTGAATGTGTGCCTTCATAAAGTGGCATTGATTCCTATGTAAACAGTGACACCTATGTGTATGTTTCACCATTCACAAGCTGCAGAGGAGGAGTGAGGAGGGGCTTGGGCCTCTTGATCCTCAAACATGGATCTAAATGTTCCTAAATGCCTGTCCATGAGGTCCCTAACAGGATGGTTAGGTAGCTTTATGGTTTAAGAAAACCAGAGGAGTTTTCTGAATGCCCAAAGGTAAACTGAGTTGGCATCTGAGGTTTAAATTGTCTTCCTTAGAAAGCAGCAGGCATGGACTTCTTCCTTACAGCAGCAGAGAAGGAAGGTAGAGAGAGGTGACGGGTTGAGCCTTGGGACATGCCACCTGGGTCACTTTTCTTGGTGGGGAAGATTAGGGAGCTTTAGCCTGACTCTTCTTTAATGTCTGAAGATGCTTTCCRGTGTCCCCTGTGTAGTCAGCTCTTGGCAAATCTCCACCCAGAGCAGTCTATTATTCAGAGTAGTTGGTGGTGTTTGGTGCAAGACACTCCAAGGGATGAGGTCAGCATGGGGTTGACCAGGGGAGAAAGAGACCAATCACAGGATCCCAGAGCAATGCTCAGGTGCCCCAGCCAGTAGAGAGTGCAGCTGCAGCGCTGGACAACAGCAGGTGGACAGAAGAAACACACACCTGCCCATGGCCAGGCTCTCCCTGTGAGCAGGATGGCCATCTTTAGGAGGCATGAGCAGAAGACCAGGGCAAAGAGATCCTTCAATTTGTGTATAGCACAGTCTCGTCTTGAGTTGTATGTCATCCAGCACAAAAGCAAAGACTCACAATATGCTGTTCAGTGTTTTTATTAATACTTTGCCTTTGATTTTATCTGGGATATTAATTTATCCTTTAAAATTTACCACCCACTACCCGGTAATTTTTCATGTTCCTTCTCTGAAACTGAATGAAACATGCTCAAGAAGAGATCTGAGCTTCTTTGACTGTGACGGAGCACCTAGTATACAATGTGTATTCAACAGTTCTTCTCAATCAAGTGAGATCTGTTGAATATACATATGTTTTCATCTGTGAAGCTGAATGTTTTTAAATGATGATATTTACAAATGCAGTTTTTCCCAAGGCCAAGATTTTGGGCAAGACTGTCTGGGAGCAAAGGTTTAAAGGCTGGCTCCACACAACCTGTGCACTCAACACCTCTGTGCCTCAGCTTTCTCATCTATAAAGTGAGCACCATAATACCGATTCTGTTCTAGCATTGTTCTGGGGATTAGTAAATATGTTCAGAGCAACTAAAACACTCCTGAAAGTAGCCAGAGTGTGAATAACCTCATTCTCTTTCTCATGCTTGATTCTATATCCCAACTCATCAGGTGTTAAGTGTGGAAGCGTCTTATACCTGTCTTCATTCCTAAGAGTGGACTCACTGATGGGAAGCAACTGGCTTTCCACCTCCTCAGCCCACTCTAAGGCATTGTCTGAAATGCTTTAGGGATCCAACCAAAGGAACTCTAGATGATGGCCCAGGACTTGGGAGCAGAAAGGTAAGACTCATTGCTCCGGTCACTCCAGTACCAATCCAAGCTAAGAGCCAGGGGTCCTGAGCACTCAGGTCTAACAAGCCTTATGAGGACCTGTCCAGTTCTCCATGGGATCAGCCTCTCCCCATCCCTGGGAGCCTCTTCAAGGTCTGCCCCAGTGGTCTCCAGCATTAGGCACGTAGCACAGGGCATATGAAGGATGTGGGAAAGCTACCTTAGAATTTCTCATTATAGCTATTTTATCATTATTTCATTATTTTTAGTTTCTAGTTTTTAATATTAATTTTAGGTATATGTTATGCTAGATAGACTTTAAAATTATACAGTATGGAGATATATATATATAAAGTTTCTCAACTATGCAGGCTCTGATAGAKATGATTTCTGGATTCAGAAAAATGTGAGAATATGAAATAGCTCAGGTGTGGACAAGGGGCAACCTGGGCAGGTACAGAGGAAAGAGCTTGTGGCTTCACACTTTAAGAGTTTGAATGAGGTAGCTTCTCCTCCTCCACCTGTGTTCCCTAAAGACCATCTATGCACTTCATAGTATTGTGTAAACCACCAGATTTCCTTAAAATTCAAGGAAGGTCTCCAGTTCAAAGGTGCAGGCTGGCATGTGGCCTCAGACATCTGGATGTCACAACCTTGGTGGATCTCTGCCATGATTATTACTGGCTAAGCCCTGGGGCACACAGGTCTTCCCCTGGAAGTATGTGGAGGTCACTGTCACCTGCCCTCAGAGGCGGGAGAGGAGAAGAACATGGTTCACTCAGAAAGCTCTCTGTTGATGGCATACAGCAGGGGTCAGCAAAGTCCCCCTGCAAAGGGCCAGAGCGTAAATGCTCTTTACTCTTGGTTTTGCCAGCCCAAAGTCTCCTCACAGCCTCTTAACTCTTGTCACTTGGAGCCAGACTGGCCACAGGGATGCACAGGCACAAGGGTGGGACTGCAGTCTGTGCTTCACTCCTGGACACTGAAATGGGACTCTTATGCCATCTGCACATATTACAAGTCATCCTTCACCTTCTGATCTTTTCCAACCATTTAAACACAGAGCAGTCATTCTTTAACTCTTTTGAGTGCTGCTAAACCAGGTGGTGAGCTGAATCTGGCCCCCGGGCCACCATTTACGGACTCTAGGCTTACAGAAAAACACTACAGTTTCATTTTGTTTGTTTTCATAAAGTGTGAGCCTTATACTATCTTCAATGTGATATAGATTAATTAAGCTTTTTTTTTAAATTATGATAGTGGATTTTTCATGAATCCTCTAGAAGTTGATTAACAAGAGATAATTCTAACAGCGTACGCATATGCAACAGAGAATTAATAAATCTCTCTTGCCATCAGTTTTTATTCAAATTAGGTACTGAATGTCACTGAAATTGTTACTTCTCCTTGACAAGGAGTACACAGAAATAAGATTACCTTAGTTGATCATATGCAAAAATAAAATGTTCAAGTAGTCCAACTCCAGACAGGAGTAGACCTAGCAGGCTGAAGGTGAGAGAAATCTGACAGAAGAATAAATGGGTATTCTTTTTCATCTATACCAAGATATGTATTATTAACATGGGGCAGCATTTACGATGTCAGAAACAAAATAAAGAGTGTTTGGCGCCTTTCTTCCTATGAGACAGTGAAACACTCTAATGTAAATATCAATAATCAACGATAAAAGTAGCTTAGCTGGTCTTGATTTCAAAACGTGTAATTTAGTATCATAATGGAGTTTAACAAAATTGCTACACTGTAGTTAGTGGCCACCAGACATTACAAAACTCTGAGGCTACCCAGATCTGTTTGCCAAGTTTTGGACCAGATCCTCAGCTACTGTCAGCACTGGGGGACTGCAGAGGAAAGGACAGAGCTACAGTTCTGCAGACCAGCAACATCCCCTTGGCTGTCCTCTAACACAGTAATCATGACATTAGATCAATTGTTTTCTAAATAGCCATATACTCTGGGAAACCTTGTCTTTYTTCCTGTGGCCTATGACTTTGTACAATTCAAAACAGATCTAATTCAGGAGAGCTATAGAGTTGATTGAATCACAAGCAACTGCCAGCATCAGACCTTTAAACAATAATTTCATGTGATTCAACTTATCATGTGTATGAAACAAAATACAAGTGTACCTTTCAAAATATGCTACATTTTTAGTAAATATTTTTCCCCCAAGCTTGCCAAATAAGTAGATGACGCCATTAAAAAACACTTATGATCATCAGGCATTTGCATTTTATGTTCTCTGTAATGGCTATGTTTTCTTGGAGTACTTATGTTCATTAGGTAAATTAATAAGGAGGTATGAAACATCAGTACTGCTTCTTTCAATTTTCCTGCTTGACAAATTAGGCTTCCAATCCCCATTGTACTTCCGTCATTCATAGTATATACTGTTCGCTAAATTGAAGTCACATTCTGTTTATACCCTCATTACCTCAGACATTGCTGGTAGGGGCAGGTGACAATGCTGGTGGGGAGCAGGTACACAGGCACACATGCAYGCACACTCGCACACRTTTCATTGGGGGCAATGTTTAAGCTCCCAAGGAATCCCACCCCCTGTTGACTGGCAGTGGGGTCCTGAATACACACCTGTGCTCGTGCGGTAGGTGCCGGTGTGTGCTGGCGGCAGAGGGTCCCCCTGGCTCTGGCTGAGACTCCTCATAGGGGGCTTCTGATAGACGCGGTCTTCGTAGATGGGGTCTATGTGGTGTTCTGGGGATTGCAGGGCCCGCAGCTCAGGGCCCAGGTGCCCATGCTGGCTGCTGTATGAGGCTCGGGACCCAGCTGAAATAAATTAACAGGGGCACATTAAAGCTCAGCCAATATTCACACCGAGTTCTATCCAAGAATATTTGAATKTGGGGAGAGACAGAATGATTGCAATCTTCAGAAAACCAAACGAATACCATAAAATGGCAGCAACCCCTCAAGCTGATCAGCTTATCACGCCATTCAGCGGCCTTGATTTGCTCCCAGAGCTGATCACTCTGAGGAYGATAATGTTTCTGAGATAAGTCCACACTGAACAAAAATGGGGAAACATCAGTTTTCTCACAGCCTGATGAATGTAACTGGATTCCTCACCAAAGGAATAAGGCAGGCAGTGGATTCTAAAAACCTCTTATTACCCACAGTCCTCATACCCTAATTATACAACAGAAATATCGTAAGTGAAGAGGAAATGAAGGAGCCACAAAGGCAAAACCACCTTGATGCTGCCTCTAGGAAGTAGACAGGAATCTGTTCCCATCAGCAGTGTTTCCCAGGACAATGAAGGAGTCAAAAATGTCTGGGCTGACAGCAGCCTGAGACCCTGAGAGAAGTAGACATTAAAGAAAAAGGTTTCTGAGTTATATTTTCTTTTATTCTTGATTCTCCAAACTGGTGTATTTGCATTTAGCCAAAAACAAAACAAAACAAAMMAAAAAAAAACACATATATATGATTGTCATTGACTGGTTTATTTATAAATTGAGGCCACAAATCATTTGTCTCTTTATCATTTGTGAGCCCTTATTTATGACACTTGATTGCATGTTATGGGGAAAATGCTCCTTTGAAGTAATATTGTAGACCAGGGAACCTGGCAGATGTTTCTTAGGGAAGGAAGCCTCTGCACATCCTGAGCTGAGCCAACAGATGCCGAGAGCCAATATTAGAGGAGAAATGTCAGGGGAACTGGGGCCTGAGATGGACCTGGGGAGCCTAGAGAGACATGGTCTATCCATGACAACAAGAGAACAAAGGAGACTACAGCTGGCTTGAGAAGGACCCTTCAGTGAAATCCCCCCAGTGGGTACCCACTTGACACATTGGAATTCAACTGCCAGCTGTCCCTTCTATAGGCCAAATTTAGAGCTCTCCACTGCAGTCTAAARTACATGTGGGTTGGAACTCCTTGACTTTGACAGAGTCTCTGGATAGTTCTATGTCCCTTCTACTTGTCCAGGCCRTTCCCAGAGGACACCAACAAGCCAAAATCTTCAAATGCTCACAGATAAGGTCGCTTCTTTAGGAACATATGACCAAAGGATTTGAATATTCTCATCTAGTGTATTTGAAGAAAAAAGCCATTCAAAAGTTTCGAAATTGCTGACAGATAAATGTTTTACTGATACATTTAGCACATGCTGCTCTGAATTTAAATAAACAGAAAACAACATTTCCGGAGAGGGGGCAATGTGGAGAATGCTTTGAATGCAGTATTAATAAAAAGCACTGCTTGCTTTGAGGAAAGGAAAGAAGTAGGGCAGGCAAGATCCTTACCTTTCCCTTTGCAGTAATTAAATAATGTCTGATTTAGATAGTGTTGAGATGAATGATGGATTGGAAATAATTGTTTTGCATAATTAGGTTCATTGCATCTGATTTGTCAAATGCCAACACTGCACTGAATATTATCTCCAGMTCAGATTTTCCAGGAATATATTTAAGTACAACACACCTTGAGTTTCAGCTGACAATGCTTAACTCCCGAAGATTCAGATAGCATCRCTAAGGATTCRAAAGTGTAGAAACAAGGAAGTAATRATTATATCCAAATGTATAGTTAAATAGAAGTTAGCCATCATTGGTAGAGTGCTAACTTTATCACCATTCCCTCGTTCTCAGTCTCAAAAACCATCTCATATTGAACCACCAGAGGAACTGCTTGAACCTCTAAGTGGTGACATGATCATAGGGCATATGTGAGGATCCTCTTGGCATAAGGAACTTCTTATTAGTRCCATCCATCAATCATGGGGTCCTAAGCAAAACGTAAAGTCTACCTCTGTGGATATAATTTCAATGTGCTGATCTTGATGATCATAGAATTATTGAGGATTTGAATAGTGTGCCATATATTTTTCTCCTATTATCATGCTGCTGGTGAAACTATAAGCTCATAGTGTTTTCCTGCAAAAATACTTGTGTAAAATACAGTTGGACATTTAAGCATCATGCAGAACATGGAAGGAGATAAGGCATTTTAAAAGGAGCATTGTTTATACTGCTGATCCATTGTGATCATTGTGATCAGATTTCAATATCTGTGGATGGGCACAGTTATAAGCTATAAGAGAGACATAAAGAATTAGGGGAAGGAAGAGAGGCAAGGAATCAAAGTTTAAAAGTGCCTCTGCTAGAATTCATGTGTTCTACTACCCTTGTTTAAGAAGAATGTATCAGGGGATCCATACTCACAAGATCTATTGGACTTTGGGCAATTTTGAGAGAAAGAATATCACATAACAAYTTTCGGGAATATGCACCAAAATTTCACAAAGATGTATCTGCTAATTCAAAGAAAATGTATTTTTTTAGTGGGAATTTTCCATCAGCATTATGGCCTATTTAACAGTGAGTCTAAAGTACCATATACTATACTATCATAAGAAGAAAATTGCTGAAGAAATTCTGATTTGGTCCAAAATGTCATAGACATCAAGGCCAAATGTTCTCATCTATTATGTTAGTAGAGAACAATTCTGGGAACTTGACCTTGACCAYGTTGAGGACTCAGAACTGCAGAATAGAAAAATATAATCAAAACATGGATAAGCAAAAGAGAAAACCAGACCAATGGTACTGACAGCCTCCCCTGACCTTGAAGATATACATCCTGCAAGAATAATATCTGTGTCCATATAACATTTCATGACCAATTTCTGCAACAGTTCTAGCACTAACACTTCAATTTTATCACATGTTTCTATTCTTCCTATTTCTTCTCCTCATATGACAAAGTTAGTGGCTAGAGAATTCAGGCACTGGCAATTTTCATGAACAATGTGATTTTGAAAGGGCTTTGAAGATGCATGTCTGAAACGTGAACACTCAGCCTCCAGCTCAAGAGAGACTGTGATGCCGSAAGCCTGAAGAGTGTTCAGAATCTGCCCATGTGTGCATGGTGCACCCATAGCTCCTGCAGGCCTAAGATGCTCTGGAGGAGGATATGCAAGCTGACCTTGGATTGGGTCAGAGGCAGTTGCTCTATCAGGTCTACCATTTGTCTTGGGACCTCAGAGCCTTCTCTCCACTGTGATGGGTGCTGGAATGGCTCCTKGCCATTCAGCTGTGATCTGGGTGTGGGAGGAAAGAGGAAAAGGTTCAGTCCCATGGAAGGAGAGTGGGAGGAACTTCAGAGGCTCAAAGAGCTGGACAGACTGAAAAAAAACAGCTGAACCTGTGTCCACATTGGCACCAGTAGGCCATGGCTGCCATCTCCACCTGCAATTCCTGCATGGAAGCTTGACATCATGTCTCACCACCAAGTTTTCTACATGAGAGACGGCTCAGGGCATTGATGTATAATGTTCAAAACTTCAAAGTAAACAGAAAGACTAAGGCACTTTCTAATTTTATTGCTGTTATTTTTGCACCAGTGTTGCTCAAAGAACTTGAAATAAGGAGACACAAAGTTTGCCCCTCATCTGTCTCTAATCAGCAGGGTGAACCAAGGCAAATAACCAAAATCCTTTGATGCTAAGTTTACTCAAGTGTGAAACAGAGATAATAATATATGCATCTCTAAGCCTAGGATTTTKGGAGGATTGAGACAAGGGAGCTCATATACGAAAGTGTTGTGCCACTGATAAAGCAACACAAGAAACCAGGAGTTCTCGTGCCATTTAATCTTAGCCTCAAGAAATGTTGTCAGCTCATGCATATGTATCTTTTGATTTGGAAAAAAAATCAAATACTTCTTAACATAAACCATTCAAATTCAAAAACAACCTAAAGATTTAATTTTGAAATATTCTAAATGTCAAAGATTTTTCTGATAATTTTGTTAAATATTATTGCAAACTGTAAATCTTATCATTTTTCTTTGWAGAAAAAATTYTGTTGCTTTCTAATGGATAATTGCAAAGAATGCAGGGGAGTCCAAAAGGGGAGAAAATACTAAAATGACCACGGAAAGGTAAAATTCTTTTTAGGAAGAAATATGACATAAATGAAACCTTCACATTAGTGACAATAAATACTTGCTAATTAAGTCAGAAGCCAGCAACAGACGTGTAGGACAATCTGAAGCCTGGCTCACTGCCTAGGCTGCCAATCTTTCACACTGTGTTTTCACTGAGTCAGAATCCAACAAGCTGTGCTTACAGTTGACCAACAAGATGTAACATTTATTACTTTTGGAATTACTTGCAACTACATTTCTATGAGCTAGATTTTATGTGCAATTGTTTATATGTGCCAGTTAATCCATACTGATCTATTCCTTCCTTCAGTCAACACATTTACTGAGTGCCCTGGGCAGCCTCTTGGAGATGAGGGCACCATGATGCTCARGACAGAAAAAGTCCCTGGTCTTGAAAGTGAGTTCTCACATTCAGGCAGATGGGATAAGGGAACGGAGGTAGGCAGGGGAAGAGGAGTCCAAGCTCAGGCAGGTAGATTATCTGGATAGGAAGGTCAAGAAAGTTTTTTGAGTGTCTGATGTTTTAGCTGAGAACTACAGAAGGTGAGAGACTGGGCCACACTGAATAAATAGCTGTATGTTCCTCAAAGAGAGGAACTGAGCTATGGCAGCAAAGGACATCAGTAACAGATCCATTTCACAGTATTTATAGAATTATTATTAGTGTCTATTTAATCCTTCCCCTCTCTCTCTCTCTCTCTCTCTCTCTCTCTCTCTCTCTCTCTCTCGGCACTGAGATTGAAACCAGGGTTCCTTTACCATTATGCCACATCCCCACCCAGGGGTACTTAACAATTGAACTATATCCCTAGCCCTTTTTAAAAAAATGATTTTGAGACAAGGTGTCACTAGGTTGCTTTCAGTCTCACTAAGT